CAGTGCATCTCTTGATCTCCAATCTATCCTTCCCTTTCCTGATTAGTGTATCCATTTTCTTAGGGACCGTATACAAGGTGTTCAAACCGTAATTTTTGAACGTACGGCGTAATCCCTCACTAAAAGTTTTTACGTAGGGGATGGGAACATAATTTTTTAGATCAAGAGTAAATGCACTGTCTTTGTTGCTAACGCTCTCCTCATTATTCAATCGTTTGTTAATTTATGAAATTCTTCTTTGAATGTGTTTGTTCACCAACAGGAAAACAGTTATTAGACAATATAGTTTTCACTAACTTGATGTTCTCATCGTGAAACTGTTCATCCGACAATAGTATGGCATGGTCAACCAAATTAATGACCGTGTTAATCTTGTATTTCAAAGGATGACTAGAGAAAAAATTAATATACCTGCCAGAGAACGTTGGTTTTCGATACCAGTTGGTGAACAAACAGTTGCCGTGTCTAAAAATAGACGTGTTTAAAAAATTCAGGGTGTTGTTCTTCTCGAGTTCATACGTGAATTTGAGACGCGGATGATAGTTGTTAAACGTACGGACAACCTCATTAAGTTTCGATTGCGGAATGCACATAAAAATGTCATCGACATAACGAAGAAAAATCTCGATATGAAAATCAAAGGATTGAAGGCAGCAAGTCTCCAAATCGTCCATAACGATATCGGCTAAAATAGGCGAGAGGGGGGAACCCATTGGACTACCGAAGATCTGTTCGTAGAACTCACCGTCAAAAGAAAAACTAGTGGAGTTAAAAATCATTCTGATAGCGTGTAGAAATTGGTCCAGATTCATACGGGTCTCTCCCGATATCGCATCCCATCTTTTTTCGATTCCAGTCAGAACAAGTTCTATGGGTATATTCGTGAACAACGCAACGACATCGAGAGAGACCAGGACGTGGTCAGAGGGGATGCTGTGTTGCTTCATACTCTCCACGAACGACCAACTATCTTTAACATGCGAAGACGGCTTCACAACTACTTTATTCAGAATGTTATGCAGATATAAGGCAATATTATAAAGAGGGTTTCCAACGGCAGATACAATTATGCGTAACGGATAGCCCTCCTTGTGGATCTTCGGAAGTCCATAGCAACGGGGGAGGTTACCGTTTGTGCAATTCAGAAAATTGTAAGCCCTCGCGTCAATAATACCGTTGTTTTTCCATGATTTTACTAAACAGTTTAATTGCGAGGTGATTTTATTCAACGGGTTTCTGTTTAATTTTCTGTATGTAGACTGATCGTTAAGCAAGGCTTTCATTTGCATAATGTAGTCTTGTCTATCCATGATGACAGTGGTCTGACCTTTGTCAGCATTCGTAACCAGAATGTCAGGGTTGTTAGTGAGATATTTTTTGCATAATAAAAACTGCGATAAGACTTATCGAAAAAAGATGGGATGCGATATCGGGAGAGACCCGTATGAATCTGGACCAATTTCTACACGCTATCAGAATGATTCTTAACTCCACTAGTTTTTCTTTTGACGGTGAGTTCTACGAACAGATCTTCGGTAGTCCAATGGGTTCCCCCCTCTCGCCTATTTTAGCCGATATCGTTATGGACGATTTGGAGACTTGCTGCCTTCAATCCTTTGATTTTCATATCGAGATTTTTCTTCGTTATGTCGATGACATTTTTATGTGCATTCCGCAATCGAAACTTAATGAGGTTGTCCATACGTTTAACAACTATCATCCGCGTCTCAAATTCACGTATGAACTCGAGAAGAACAACACCCTGAATTTTTTAAACACGTCTGTTTTTAGACACGGCAACTGTTTGTTCACCAACTGGTATCGAAAACCAACGTTCTCTGGCAGGTATATTAATTTTTTCTCTAGTCATCCTTTGAAATACAAGATTAACACGGTCATTAATTTGGTTGACCATGCCATACTATTGTCGGATGAACAGTTTCACGATGAGAACATCAAGTTAGTGAAAACTATATTGTCTAATAACTGTTTTCCTGTTGGTGAACAAACACATTCAAAGAAGAATTTCATAAATTAACAAACGATTGAATAATGAGGAGAGCGTTAGCAACAAAGACAGTGCATCTCTTGATCTCCAATCTATCCTTCCCTTTCCTGATTAGT